AATCAGGGATCCCTTTAACATTGGTATGAAAATTAATGAAAAAATCTTCTTCAGATCACAGTATGATAATACACACTTGAAATAGAAATACCTTTTAAAAATTGTGTTAATGATTATTTATTTATTTACTTTTTAAATAATGAATCACAAAAGATTAAAGCAGATTGTCATGTCGGCATTATCTGCAAGACAAGGTCAGATTATTGAGCTTGTATTAAGCAATCCAAGGAAAATAATTTTTGGGGATCGTTTTTTGGATCCAGAGAAGCTCAGGACACAGAGTGTTTCTAACCTGGTGTCCTTCATCTGAGGAACRCAAAGATGTGAATAAAGCGCAGCGTCTTTTTGGGGAGAGGAAYGGGCCCACTTTACGAGGCCCCGCTCACATGGGTTCTTTATCCATCCCCACTCACCATAAGCAAACAACCATATGTAATCTTTTTTTATAGAACAGGGTATTAGAAAAATGGAGCATGAATGTATATTTTCAGTTTAAAAGATTACTAAAATTAATAGCAAAAATCAAAACCTCAAGGGACAATTTTTGCCTTTGTAGATCTGAAGCAGTGACAWATCCTTGGCTTTTGTTCCCTTTCACTGTGAAGACTTGAAAGACTTCATTCTCCAGTGATGCCACACTAAACCCAGTGTGTTAATTTCTGTCGTCTTCTGTTTTTCAGAGAGTGACCTATGAGATGAAGAAGCCCATTCATGATGTGAAGACAATAGCTGAAGTGGAGGGAGGTGTGGTGAAGGCTGGCAGAGAGGTGGAGTGGAAAGAGAAAATCATCGTTCCTCCACTCCCTCAGTCCTCCCTTGCTGGTTGTGAGCTCATAAAGATTGAGTATTATGTGAAGGTAATGGAATAGTCTTTCTGGTTTAATAACATAATGAACCTGGAGGAGATATACTACAGTGTTCCCTGTGGCATTTGTTGTGGGGGCCGCTTTGAAGAGCTGTTCAGTCCCTGAATCTCAGAGTCTTGGCTTTTACAGTTGATGTGGCCCTGATGGTATCTTTAAATTGTGAACTTGTACATAGATAAAATACTCTCTAACACACAGCATGTGAGAGAATCCAGCCATCATTTGTGAGTTGAAAGACTTTTTCTGCAGGTTTGTTCAAATTTTAAGAAAAGAAAAAGTCTTCTCTCAGCTTGATTCATGCTGGACTTTTCTATCTGACTCATTAATGCCCCTAGTGTTTAGACTTGGAACTGCACCCAGAATCATCACTCTTGGGTAAAGAACAGATGAGTGACAGGACAGAGACACTTCTCTGGGCCAATCAAAGTTCAACAGGGGCCAATGCCCCTGTGGCCCCGCCCCTGCTGGTCTGTCTACAACTCACACCTGAAGGCCATGAGATGAAGATCACAACAACCAAAAGAAAGAGATCCTGGAAACAAGCGTCTGAACTACCTCCTGATAGGGTGGCTGGTCCATACATTTTTTTTTCTCTTATCAAATGTTTAATGACAAATTTTAGAGTTTTGACTTGAGCTGTATGCTAGGATCAAATAGTGCTTAAAGAGTAACTTTAACCCAAAAACTAATTTTTGCAGATAAACTGTTTAAATTGGGCTTTAAGGGTATTATCTTTTATATTATTGTGCAAAGTTTGATGTTTTTGTCTTTWGTGTAAATTTCTTTATTTCAGCAATATTTAGTCTAAAACAGGCTCTTAGTCCTCCCCTCTGTGGGTTGAACAGTGGCTACTGGTCTCTAGTGTGACCTGGTTTCTTAACAATGCGACTACATAGATAGATAGATAGATAGATAGATAGATAGATAGATAGATAGATAGATAGATAGATAGATATGTGTATGTATATTTTGGAGCTGATATTAAATATTTTATTTATTTTTCCTTCAGGTGAGACTGAAGTCACCGGATGTCATGCTAACATTACCCATTCACATTGGGAATGTCGCATTAGACAAGAAACGGTGTTCTATCAAAAAAGACGTTCTTCCTTCCAACGAAGAAGCAGCAGCTCCTGYTTCCATGCCAGACGATGCTGAGATGCTTCCTAAGCCTGCTCCCAAACCTGCTCCCCGTCCAGTCCCACGCTCCAGGATATCCTCCCACAGCTCTCCCAGCGCTCCTCCAGCTGAGAATCACCCAGGAGCAGARGGTGGAAGCATGAAGAATGAGGATTTCACCAACAAGCGCCAGTCTCAGCTGGTGTCACCTAACGCTTTCAGCTATGCCCCGGGCCTCCTTTTCTCCCAGAACCTGCAGGCCAACCAGGCATCTGCAGCTCGGAGTGGGTCTTCATACAGGCAATCCACTGAGGCCACTGGTCTTTACCCCTCTCTGATTGGAGCCAAACCAGTGCAATCACCTCCAGGCTATGGCATCCCATCTTATCCACAAGGTACGATCCTTGCACACATTTTGCAGTATTTGAAGTGGAGCATTCAGTTTTTAGCAGGTYTTTATCACTGAGTGCAAAGTCTTTAAAGGTCCATGACTGTTTTCTCACAATTCAGTGATGGAGAATAACACCTAACAAACCATAAAATATAAACACTTAACAGCACCTAATCTAGTGGAGTGGTCAACCAGCATGTATGTGAGAGCATCACCCACACCAWTGCAAACTGGCATCTGTGAATGTGTTGACTTTGGGTCTGATGTGATAGAGGACCAACTTCTCCAGCATCTTCATGATGTGGGAGGTTAAAGCAATGGGTCTGAAGTCCTCGGTGCCACGTGACTAAATTTGACCAGATCGATAAGCTCCAGCTTTAACGCTAATGGATTAGTGGCATGACAATGCTGTGTTTTTAAATTTAGTTAAAAAAACAAGCTCTCTTTTCCTCTCGCCTCTYACAGTCTGCTTCCGTTGCTCTGTCAGACTCAGCACGAAAGGGAAGGCCTGCCAACAACACAGGTCTTTAACAATGGCTGAGTGACAACAGYGAGCTAAAAAGTCTAAAGTATGGCCTGCATGCACAGAAAATATGTGACGTCACATTCAGCCTGGTGTTTACAGAGGTAGCCTATGGATGCTACACACTAGCATGTCGATTTTGAAGTTATTGTGCAATCAGAGCCAATTTAATAATTATCTGACATGATTGTTTAGTTCACTGTTTACATTTTAACCTGCCTCTGACCGGATGCACCGGTGCAGCATTTTATTTTTGGAACAAAGCTACTTGCTAAAACGAAAGTATCGAAAGTATCGATGTTTAGGATTCTCTGTCATCCAGGACATGGAAAATTGAAAGAAGAAAAGACGAAGCAACTGGACTTCTATAGATGAAAATGTGAAGCTATAAGATTTAAACTGCATAATTCAAGTTCATTAGTATCATTATTGGATCGAACCATTCAAGACATCAAGTGGACACCTGGAGCCATAATATAAGTAGGGACAAGTTTAAATTCATGYTYTTATTTCGACGTGAAGATAGTKTCCTGTTCTCTGTGATTTTGCTTCCCATCACCAATCTGTTCTGTACCCACAGGRCTCTAGACTAASTTTTTGCACTGGTTGCACCAGTGTGCCTAACATTTTTCCTTAGGTCACCAATACAAAGRTTAGGTGCACCCAAATTTGCAAATGTGTCGCATTTAAAATCAACATTTTAATGGTTCACTTTTTAAAAATCATTGTCAATTAAGGCAATATTAACTCACAAATAATTTTTTAACAATCTAGTAAAAATAAAGTTCTATATTTGAACCAGAATTGTATACATGTAACTTACTGAAAAGTATTTAAAGTCCTGAAATTTAAAGACCTGAAATTTTAACTCAAAACATCTTAAGATAGATGAAATGACAGAAATTCTAAATTCTAATTGCAAATGTTTAAGGGTTGAAAATTTTATAAATATCTCAGAAAATTTCATGGCTGAATGTCTTTTAGATTACACCTGCCCCTCAGATGGACAACTACTGTAGTTTGGCCTTCAGGATCTTTGGCCTTGGCTAAACCAGAATGATGAACAGAGAATTAAGATTAACAGCAGAAATATTACTGATTAAATGAGAAAAAGATTTTTAAAATAATAAAATAACAACATGAAAAAGTCTGCGATTTAATTTGAATTAGTTGAATTGTATGTATCTCTCACAAAAAAAAACTAAGATGTGTAGTCATAAAACCATTTTCAGAACCTGGAACGTAACTGTGGTGAAGCTGATTTTATGTAAAAGCGGCCTGCCATACAGGTGAGCTTCCTCATGCTGCTGGAGTGCAAAATGGACTTTACTACTAAGACTTAAGAACAAGGAACTGAAAGAAAATATTTTTAAGCATGTTCGTTTCTAAGCATGTTCGTTTGCCATTTTATGTGCTTGAACCACACAGAGAATGTACCAATGCATGGAGATTGAATGTAAAAGAGTGCATACAACACCAGAGAGAGGCTCGGTCTGGAGGCAGTTTATTGATCTGCATTCAGGCCTCCTTACAGAGGCTCCAGGACATGACTCCGCCTATTTTATTACATCATCAGGAGGAGGTCCCTAATACAGCTAAAGTCATGTCCCCAGACAATATAATATGACCTAATGAAGATTAACGGTTCACTTATGTGTTGAATGAGTGTTCAGGCATGTATCTACATAAAATCAAGTTAAGCAACATAATCACATTTAACAGGTATTACAG